GGAATTGTGTATGAAAATTGGCACAGAGGCATTTAACAATTGATGATGAGAGTGGTGCTTTGAAGAAGTGGGTTTTTCTGATTTGTCTGGTACCAACTGTAATGCAACTTGTTGGTCCGAATTGGGGAGGAATAGTTCTAACATTGTTTGGTTCATCTTCGTAGATAGTAACCCCAAAGGTATTTGACTGTAGTTTAAAATTTGAGTAAAAAATAAAAAATTACCTTTTTAAAAATTTCATCTACATTGTCATATTCTTTTTGCACTTTTTTTTTTTACGATATTCTTTCATAAGAATATATTGCGCCTAATAAGCAGATTCAAGATGTCGCTATAAAGGCCAGGTCATGCTATTTTTTCCACAAGAATATTCTTTTTGGATATAATTTTTTACATCACATCTAGCCATTTTTTGCTTCTTTGTCTATACAACTTTCTTAAAATATCACCATACTTCACTCACTTTATTCCCACAACTTCACTTACTAATAGTACTGCTACTATCATCATTATCATAGCTTTGGTCATTATTGTAGCCATGGTTATAGTCGCAAGCATATTCGTTATCATGATAGTGGTGGTCGATATCATGGTAGTGGTAGTCATCATTGTAATCACCATCATGGCTGTGGTTTGTTGTAGATAAGAAACTCATTAAACTAATAGAACATTTGTAATTAGTCATATTATCTCTACTATAGTATTATTAATACAGATATGCTTTCGTTTAACTAACTAGCTCAGATAAGTCATTTAGTTTTTATTTGTATAGCAGTTTCTTCTTTATTTATTACTAACCTTCTTTTATCAACTTTAATCAAGCTTTTACTTAGCCGGATACATATTTACCTTCTTATTTTTGAATTTTTGAATTGAAAAGAATTCCAACTATAAAATATATGCATATAATCAAGATTATCATCACGTTATACTTAGCTAACCAATTAAATATATTACTATATACTAAAAAAATTTGTGTGTAATGATAATATTTAGAGTACTCTATTTATACTGTGTAATGATAACGTTAGACTACATGTATAAATTATAAATCAATTAATTCAATTGTATAACTGTAGATTATTTTAATTGGTTAAAACTAATTTTTTAAACTTTAAAGAAATTTTTAATAAGATAACCTTTTTGGGCTTCTAATTAAAGTTGTAGAGAAGACTTTTCTAGTTCTAATGGTGCGAACATAAAGATCTACAAATTGGTAGTTACACAAAAGATTATAGTCTATAATACTATATACATATCTTTATTTTCAAATATCTTGAGATTTACTAGTCTGATTTTGATGATCTAAATACTATTAGAACCAGAAAAGTTAGCTCTACAACTTTAATTAGAAGCCCAAGAAAGATTATCTTATTAAAAACTTTTTTAAATCTTAATTATATATAATATATATATATTTTTAATAAATTAAAGAAGTTTTTAATAAGATAACCTTTCTTGGGCTTCTAAGTAAAGTTGTAGAGGAGATTTTTTGGTTCTAATAATATTTAAGATATTTAGAATTACAAATTGGTAGTTATATATAGTTTATAATACTATATTCATATCTTTATTTTTGAATATCTTGGGATTTACTGATCCAATTTTGATGATCTAAATACTATTAGAACTAGAAAAGTTAACTATACAACTTTAATTAGAAATTCGCAAAAAAAAACTCTTTCCATAAATCCCTTACACAAACTTAAATAAAAATTCGTGCATCATAAAATCGCCCATATCTCAA